CTAGGAAAGAAAAGAAAAGATGAAAATAAATTCTTGGGTATTTGTCTAGGGCTATGGACTGTAACAGCTGGAGGAGACCTTGGAGGAAATGAGGGCATCTAGTCCAGTGATCTCCTTTTACAGATGAGGAAACTGAGACCCAGAGAGAAGTGATTTTCCAAAGGTCATGCAGAACATTAGGAGATTGAATGTCAGAGCTAGAATAGAGAACGTCAAAACTAGAAGGAGTTTTTGAAAAGAAGAGCAGAGCTAGAAAGGACCTTAGAACATAGAATGTCAGAGCTAAGAAAGATCTTGGAGCAGAGACTGTTGGAACTGGGAGCGGATGAAAGAGAGAGGATTGTTATAGTTGGAGGGGACCTTAGACGTAAGATGTCAAAGCTGGAAGAGACCAAGGAGAGAAAGAAATTCATTCTGTGTTCTAGGCCCTTCCTAGCTTTGACTTTTAATGCCCTTCCTTCCTTCCTTCCTTCCTTCCTTCCTTCCTTCCTTCCTTCCTTCCTTCCTTCCTTCCTTCCTTCCTTCCTTCCTCCCTCCCTCCCTCCCTCCTCCCTCCCTTCCTTTCTTCCTTTCTTCCTTCCTTCTTTCTTAAAAGAAGAGGATTAGAATGTAAAATGCTAGATCTGGACAGGATCTAGCTATTCACGCCTTGCTAATTTGAACTCTAGGTCACCCCCAGCATTCACCTTCTCTGCTCTCACCGACGCTGAGGAAGACTATTCCAAATTAACACTAGCTAACCTAAATTGGGACCTCACTGTTGTGCTGTAATCCTTTTATTCTGATTTGATTGACTCTCTATCACCCCTTCCCAAGTGGCTATTTCAATCCTTCTCCCCTCTCCTCAAGCTCACAACTTCACCTAACTCACCTTTTTCTCTCCACAAATATCCTTGCCTCCCACTTTACTGAGGAAACTTGGGCTATCTATTGTGAGAATCCTTGTCTCCCCTCCTCCATATCTCAAAATGCCTTTCCACATTCACCCATTCTCTTATCCTTTGTTCTAGTCTCAGAGGATAAGATGGTCATTTGCTATGCTCAAGCTAACCTTTCCACTTGTGTTTTTGATCTTATCTCCTCCAGTCTCCTCTAGTCTCTTCCCACCAATCACCCTCGATTTCCTAACCTTATCTTCAATCTCTCCCCATCTCCAGTCTCCTTGCCTGTAGCCTGCACAAATGTACAGGTTTTCTGTATTTTAGAAACAAACATGCTGATAACCTTCTTTTGACCCTGTCATCCCCTCTCACTATCTCCCTGTATCTCTCTTCCCTTGAAAGCCAAACTTTAGAAAATAATGTTGTCTATACTCATTCCCTCCAACCACCCACTCATTTCTTAACACCTTGCAGTCTAGTTTTTTGACCCCATTGATTAGATGAAATGTTCTTTCCAGGATAATCGGTCACTTCTAAACAGCTAAATCTTATGATCTTGTCTCAGTTCTCATTCTCATTGACCTTTCTATAATAGACTACATTGTTTCTATTCTTTCCTTGGTCTCCTTCCCCTGACTCCTGTTACACTATTTTTTTCTGGGTTCTTTTGTCTCTCAACTCAGTCTCCTTCTCTGGTTCCTCCTCCTCAAGTCTCTATCCTGGGTCCTCTTTTCTTTTGTATTGACATCATCTCTCTTGGTGTTTACCTCTTTTTCAAGGGGTTCAATTACCATTTTTCTGCAGATGACTTCAAAATCATTATATCTCCTCCTAATCTCTTCCCACATCAAAAACTACTTGCTGGACAGCACTACCTCAGTCTCCTGCTGGCAACTTCAAGTCAACATGTACAAATGGAATTCATTGTCTTCAACTTTTATCCTGTCCCCAAACTCCCTCTCTGCTATTTGTCCTTCAACTTTTGTTTTTATATTGATAGTGACAGAAGAAGAATGCTGGACTTTGGAGTCAAGAGAGACATAGGTTGGAAACTCAACTTTTCAATAGCCTATATGTAGGACCTTGAGTAAGTCATTTGACCACTCAGAACTTCAGTTTACTCATCTGTAAAATGGAGGTAAAGATGCTTCAAAACTGCTCACTTTACAGGGTTGCTAGAAAGTTCTCTATTAAGCCCAAGGGACCATAGAAACTAGAGATGCTATTGCTATTTTTTTATTATTACTTTTGCTATTAGCGCAATGGTCCTTCCAGTCACTTGGGTTTGGAAGCTCAGTCATCCTCCCTCACCTCCTGCATTCAGCCAGTTGACAACTCAATTTCCTGTTCTATTCCCACAAGCCTACGCCTTTTTCTCTACTTCCTTGGCTAACACTCTATCCAGGCCCTTACCACTTCTTCCATGAACTACTAAAATCACCAACACATTTGTTGTAGTATTCAGCTAGAGGTGAAAACAATCTCCGAGGCCACTGGTCCAACCCCAGCATTTTAGAGAGGGGGAAACTGAAGTCAAGAAGAGTCCTAGTATCCTAGATTGAGACGTCAAAGCGCATCTAGCCCAACTCTTTCCTTTGTACAGATGGGCAAAGAGAGGCTCAGTCCTCCTCTCTATAGCCTCACCTCTGAATAGCTCACCGAAGTGACTTTCCTAAAGAACAAATCCATCGCGTCAAGTTCCCTCAGTGTCACCCTCCCCTATTTGATGAACTGTGATGGCTCCCTATTGCCACCAGAATCAAATACAGATTCATCTATTTGGCATTCAGAGCCTTTCATGACTCAGCCCCCTCCTACCCTTCCAATCTTCTTGCACCTCAGTCCCTGATGCCTACTATTTGATCCAGTGACACTGGCCTCCTTTCTTTTCCATGACCAAGAAACTCCACCTCTCGACTCTGGGCATTTTCTCCGGCTGTTCCCCATGCTTGAAAGACTTTCCCTCTTGGCTTCTCTGGCTTCTTTCAAATCCTAGCTAAAATCCCATCTTTTACAAGAAGTCTTTCCCAATCCTTCTCAATTCTTGGCTTTCATTTTCTAATCATTTCCTACTTCCCCTGTATATAGCTTGTTTGGAGCAGCTAGGTGATTCAGTGGATAAAGCACCAGGCCTGGAGTCATGAGGACCTGAGTTCAAATTCTGCCTCAGATACTAGGTGGGTGACCCTGGACAAGTCACTTAACCCTGTGTGCCCCAGTTTCTTCATCTGTAAAATGAGCTGGAGAGAGAAAGAGCAAACTACTCCAGTAGCTTTGCCAAGAAAATCCCAGATGGAGTCACCAAGAGCTGGACATGACGGAAATGACTGAACAACACCAACAAAGTGGCTTGTTTGTCCATATCTGTTTGCACGTTGTCTCCTTCATTAGACTGTGAGCTCCTTGAGGACAAGGCTGTCTTTACATTTTTTTTTTTGTATCTCCAGCATTTAGCCAAGTGCCTGGCACCTAACAGGTGATCAGTAAATGTTTATTAATTGATAACCTCCACAAGGCTGGTAAATCAATCTTTTTTTTAAGTGATAGGTCTGTTAATGTCATTTCCTGGCTGAAAAACACTCAGTGGCTCCCTATTGCCTTTAGGATGAAGTTTAAATTTCTTAGTCAGGCATGTAAAATCCTTCCAAATCCAGTGCTAACCTACATTTCAAGCTTATTTCATTTCACTTCTATTTGTTTATTCAGCGGGACAGCCCAAATGGCCTCCTACTTGTTCTCTCACCTTGTCCTGTCTCATTCTGTACATGTGGGTAGACCATCCTTCCCTCCTACATACTTTGTAACATTCTTTTTTTTCTCCCTTGATTTTTGCTAGGCAATGAGGGTTAAGACTTGCCCAGGGTCACATGGCTAGTAAGTGTCATGTGTTGTGTGTCTGAGACCAGATTTGAACTCAGGTCCTCCTGACTCCAAAGCCAGAGCTCTAGCCACTGCACCAGCTACCTGCTCTCCTACATACTTTGAAGGCACTCCTCACCTCTGCCTATGGAAAGCCTTTTCTCTTCCTTCATGTCTCAGCACAGTCGCCTCCTCCTCCAGGAAGCCTTCCCTGATGACTGTCAGCTGGAAGAACTCTCTCATTACTCAAGTATTCCTACGGCACCTTATATGGAGTGCTCCATGTTCTCCTCCCTCCCAACCCTGTAACACGCTAATCTGTATATATGGCATATTCTCTCAGTAGAATGTAAGCTGGTCAAAGCAGCAAGTGTTTTACACGTCAAATGAGTATTATGTTCCATGTCATGTGCTACACAATGGAAATACAAATACAAGCAAATAGAAGGACTGGCCCTGCCCTCAAGTAGTTTACATTCTAATGGGGAGAGGCGAGGTATCATATAAAAGGGCAGTGGAAGGGGGGAGAAGGTAGGGATAGATGGTCTGGGCATGTCTTCAAAACTGAATGTAATCACTGGTTGGAGCAGGTTGTAGGACTGGAGGGCTCTTCTAGGGTGGAAAGGCAGTGAGGTGGTGAAGTTCAGAGAGTCAGGACCAGATCTGTGACAGGAGTGAAAGATGACTGCCCTGGCCGCTTACTTAGAATGGAGATCTCAGGAAGAATTCATCAAGGGGAGGAGGGGACCACAGGGGCAGAGCAGAAGGCATGGGCAATTGAAAAAAAAACCAAACATATATAGCCCCACTGCAGAGCACGGGGCTTTGTACATTTTAGACACTTAATAGATATTGAACTTGATTCAATTTACTCGCCCTCAGAGATCACCTAGGGTGGCCAAAACTTCTAATTCAATTCAATTCAACACACATTCATTCCACTCTTATGCCAGGCTCAATGCTAGGCTTTACAGATACAAAGACAAAAATGAAACCCTTCCTTCCCTCAACAAGTTAATTCAGGGAGCAGTGGTGACCAGGAGACCATGCATGCATCGAGACCTGGAAGGACTTTAATGGGCAGCCCGGACAATCTATAGAAAGATAAATAAATACAATATGATGAATTTGCATGTCAACTCTCTAAGGTTATAAGTTGCAGGAAAGATGCTGACCTGCATTGGTAGAGAGAATTTTTTTCATCTGGAAGTTTCTGGACCTACAGATCTGGTCCTTATTGTCTATGAATTTTTATAGTCC